GAACAGTATTGATGGTTTTGAACTTTGGGGTTGGAGAAGACTCCTGAGAAGACCATGGACAGCCAAGAAATCAATCAAATGGATCATCGAACAAATCAACCCAGAGTTCTCCCTTGAGGCACCAATGACCAGGCTCCAATTATCCTACTTTGGACGCATCATGTGAAGACCCAGCTCTCTGGAGAAGGCTCTGATGCTGGGAAAGGTGGAAGGAAAAAGAAGAAGAAGATGACCAGCAGCAAGGGGATGGACTCAGTTACATTGTCGGAAGACCTGAAAGACCAGGTTGGGAAAGATTGTCCTGGAGAAGATCTATCTAGGTCACCAGCAGTCAACAATGACTTGATGGCACACAGTCAATCAAAAACTATAACCTACATTTCCATCATTCTGCAAAATGGCCATTAGATTATAGCAGTCTACTTCACAGCAATTCGCAGGAGACCTACTTGACCGTTTCGACGGTAACATGGACTTCAGGACACAAGTGGATTTCTTCTTCATGAAAAACATTCTCACCAAGGAAAAGAATTTAGTGCACAAGGCCTCAGCCTGTTCTTATGATAGCTTTCTGCTTGCGTGGAAGGGGTTCACAACAGCTGTGGTGTTTCATGGATCTCAGGGTCTACCTTCCCACTTGCCCATCTCTGTTCTAAGTTTGATACTGACCGCACTGAATGTAATACTGTATGTTAAAATGCTATAAATTTATTAAATGTATCACAACATTTCTCAAATCCTAGCTCTAAATTTGTAGTTGGATCACTGCCCCTCAAAAAATGTATTATTTTGTCCTTTGAGATGCAACAACATACATACCCAATCTTACTCCATTTCAAAAACTCACAATCAGCCAGTGGAGTCAGTTAGGAAAGATCCGATGGCCTTCCTTATCACCCACAATCATGGTTTGTTGAACAGATCATGACAAGGTAGATTCACACAAGCCATAAATGATGGTTTATAAACCAGAATAAGAATGTGCCTAGATCACATTGAGGCAAACAAATCACAGTTATATGCAATGATACAAGATGGGCAAAATGGGAATTTGAATGCCAAACCCCCCAATCGAGTTAATTGATTACACACCACATAGAATATTTCTGTCCTTCAGTGTTTGCTACTAATGCTTGTACCCTACTCAAACTTCACTTTGTGGTTTCTCTAAAGAATGATCAAGTCACCATTATTTGAAGATCTGGACCAGAGAGACAGAAGACCCAAGGGATATTTTTCCAAGGATGCCCACCAGGTATAGTTAAAAAAAGTCAAGATGGTGGTTGTGATGGTGTGATTGAAGTTCTACCCTTTTTAAGTGTCCAATGCATTTTATGTGCAACACACACAAAAAACAGGCAGATCTTCAATCACACCATCAGGACCACCATCTTGCCCTTTTAACTGTACTCTGTAACGCCTCCCGTTTCATCTTGGATTTTTTCTTGTGCAGGTATCTCAGACCCAGGATCTTAAGGGACAGGCAGACAGAAAGAGAGACCAACTAAGACTAATTCCATAAATTCAGATGTTACTTTCAGGTTTCCACCTTCCCCCCCCCTTTTTTTCCCTCTGGGAAGTGTGGCGGTGTTCACGCAACCCACCAAACCCATAAACCATAGGTTACAAACCACAGTGGCAAAGGAAAAAACAAACCTCATTATATCCCCCGACATGAGCAACCAACCCTGACACCCAAATGATGAGACGAGCATCACATAGTTGTGTGAATGATGCAACTATCGACTTGAGTCACGGTGTCTAAAATGAGATTGTCAGCCGCTATCCACCTTCATTGCTTTTGGGTTGGATGGTTGATGATTTTATCTGTGGCTTAATTTGAAGGGGGCCTGCTGTTGATTACTGTTATATAACTGTAACAGTCCTGGGGGCATTTTGCTGTTCTGACCATAAGCTGCCAACTGCAGCAGAAAAAAATTGAATCAGTCAAAATCAATCTCTCAAATCAATTACATCCATGACGCATGTTCTGTCATTCACCCCCTCCTGGCTCCCCCTGCCCCCAAAAGTCAGCTGCAATTATGTCCTAGTGTTTTAACCGTGTTTCTCAACCTGGGCAGCTTTAAGATGGGTGAACTTCAACTCCCAGAATTCCCCAGCCAGCATACTGGCTAGGGAATTCTGGGAGCTGGAGTCCACCCATCTTAAAGCATGCAAAGGTTCAGAAACGCTGTCCTAGATTCTTGGAAAGATTGGGAAACACTGTTCTAATACACCTCTCCTGGGATTTGCAAACCATGATTGATGCTTTGCAGAAATACAGGCCAGCATAGGAGAGTTGATGGTATGTTATGGCACCACGGTGGGAAGTATGATGTTCCTTTGCAAGGGTGAGAAGATGGTTTCCTTGCTGTTTGAGTGGTTTTGTTGTCAGCCACTTGGATGATTGCATGTAAGACAATAATCCAACCCTGTAAATTCTACACATAAATAAGAATATTAGGGGCCAGGGAGAGGGGAAGAGTTTGACACCATCTCGAACATGTCCCTGGCCACGGTTCACAGAAGAAGAAAGTAATGCAAAAAAACAATAGAGACTACAGAACAGATTTCTTTACATCTATCTGCATTTTGGAAAGGCAGATTTCTACTATTCCTCCCCACTTTTGCCCTACGTTGACAGAGTGCATAAAGGGAACGTTGGAACCAGTGCGATGCACCAGCTCTCTCTGAGAAAGTGCGTTGCTGCCTGGAACCGTCTGGTAAACGCATCTTCTCAATTCAACAGCCTCCAAGTTTAAGGGCTGCCTACGCAGTCGTCAAACTGCATTTAAAAAAACCAAACAAATTCGAAACCATCCGAGGGTAGGCCCAATTCTGCACATGAACACATCCTCCTCCTCCGGGCTCCCTTTGCAGCACCAGACCAGAAAATAAAGCTTATCAACAAATAGAAGAGGCCTCACTGCCAGCAACCCAACCAGCAGCACTGATAAATAAATAGAAACAGTCACATGCTTTGCTGAAGAACGAGGGGGGGAAGAAAGAGAAAATACAGTTAGGAATGCTCTCTCGGTAATGGAGCCACAGCTGCCTGCCAGGGAAATACAGATTTATTTATTGATCGTATTTATATAGCCGCCCATCTCACACAAGGTGACTCTGGGAGGCGTACAACAATTAAACTGCTTGGCCCTAGATGCAAGGGCCAAGGCAGATGCCAGGAACCATGCTGCACAGCAGGTTCCAAACTTCAAGATTGCTAAGAGGTTGTCCTAAGCCAGTGTTGTCCAAACTTGGCCACTTTAAGATGAGTGGACTTCAACACTGTCCTAAGCAGTACAGGTGTCCTCTGCTTCTTACCAAAGACTTAACACAGAGGAGAACCTTGTCCAGAACTAGGATCTCCTCCACCTAATTGCAAGCAGGCCCTGGATAAATTCTCCAATTGCTTCAATCCTGGCCTCGCAAAAAAAAAAAAACACCACCTATTTAAAAAGTTAGCACTTCTTACAAGCCACACAAACTCGTTAAATGTTTGCAGTACATCAGTTGCAGGAAAAAAAAAAAGCCACCGGTTGTCTCCCTGCAACACAATCTTACCTGCCTTGCTTGATCACCTCCTGGTGATCTTTCACATCCTACAGGTGACCAGTTTGGGGGGGGGGAACGACACAATTTTCAACACTTGTTTTCTCCCACTTAGCACATATTTTCATTCAGAAAGTTCTAAAAAGTTCAGGGGACATTTCTCTGGAATAGGGGCGGTCAATAAGAGCCTCTGAGCATAGTAAGAGTGTTTTATTACTAGATTAGGAGGGATAGCCATTCCCTGCACCGATCCACACTCAGCACATTTTTTTCAGAAAGAATCATCCAACACAATCAGAGATCTGGTAGCAACTTTTCCAACTAACAAACTTTGTTCTGTTTATTTACTTCATGAGCTGCAGCTTCTGCCTCTGAATGAAATTCGTTAGCTGGAAAAGGTGTTTTTTTGCCATCACAGACCAACCCAGCCCTCCTAACAAAGCACACACAAGAACTGCATTAGGAGACAGTGTTAAGTTACTTTGACTCAAACACAGTCTTTGCTCAGGCCTGAATTGAGAAAAAAAATAGGTTCGCCCTCCCCACCTGCAAAAAACAGCATATTGAGAAGTCATTTGATTTACCTTCAGCAAAGGGGGGGGGGGAGAGAGAAAGAATGAAGTAAGCTTTTAAAAACCAAATGAAAGCTCCAGAAAGATCAAGACCTAAGAACAACTTTGTAGCATAGCCATGCACTAAGATTAATCGAACAAAGAGTTAAAAGGATGCACTTTTATTCTCAAGCCCTCCCAGGCATTATGGAAGGAAGAGACCTGGGCTAGTACTTTGGACACGAGCTGAGAGAAACCACAGCTCTGCCCACTGGATCCAAACGAGCTCTCAGCAGTGATTGGCACAACCAGCTTTGCCCGGTGAATCTGGCAGCCAGGGAGGAAACGATCCTTTGATCAGACCTGTAACCAGCCAGCCAAGCAGCCACCCCCGAGCCCTCTGAAAAGCAGCCGGAAGAAACTAAACCAGAACCCAAGCAAGGGGGGGGGGCATTAAAAAGGAGCCTCCAAAGCCAAGAGCAGTCAAGGCACCTCCGAACTTCTCAAGAGCGGAGGCTAGAGGAGAGCGACGGGGAAATGGGAAGCTCGGAGAGGCTTCCTTCCGAGGAGACCCGAGCGCAGAGGGGATCGTGGCGTAAACACACCCCTGGGCCCAGCGGGGCGACTCCGGAGTAAGCCGACTGCTGAAGGCGGCAGCAAAGCAGGCGGCGGCGGCGGCGGC